GTATTAGTCTGTTCTCACACTGCTCTAACGAACTACCTGAAACTGGGTAGTTTGTAAAGAAAAGAGGTTTTATTGACTCTTAGTTCTGCAGGCCATACAGGAGACATGGCCAAGGAAGCCTCAGGAAACTTACAGTCATGGCAGAAGGCAAAGGGGAAGCCAGTACGTATTACATGGTGGGAACAGGAGGAGGAGAGTGAGGGTGGGAGGTGCCACTCACTTTTTAAAACAAGCAGATCTCCTTAGAACTCACTCACTATCATGAGAACAACAAGGGGAGGTCTGCTCCCATGATCCAATTACCTCACACCAGGCCCTTCCTCCAACATGGGGGATTACAATTCCAAATGAGATTTGGGTGGGGACACAAATTCAAACCATATCAGAATGTTAGTGACTAAAGTAAATGTTCTTGATTAACTCTTTAATGTATATATTGAGTGCAAGCCATATGCAAATTTGAGGTTGTCAGCCAAGCTGCTGGATTGTCTGTTTCTCCAAGAAAAATAAATTTCAGTAATTATTAAGGAAGCAGCATAGAATTGCATCATGTTTTACATTTCATTACTTTTACCATTACATGGGAGCATGGATGTTTTCTACAAAGTGCTCTGATAAATTGAAGAAGAGGCCAACAACAGCCACCAAAAAAACCTTCAAGATTCTTGCCAGTATGGCCCAGGGGAAAAATTTCCCTCATAACCACAGATTTGACTTTTCAACTTCTGTACTTCTGCATATGAGTAATAATCTCTGAGGTTAAGTATTCATCCCATTTAGCTAATTGTCCACATAGCTCCCTGGGTCTTAGATTGCTCTATAAATACCTCCTAAGAGAAGAATTTTTCAAATGAAAGTTTCATTTTTCCTTTTTCTTCTTTTAAAGCAACAAAGAAAAACACGTCTGTGTTTATATTTAACCAAACTTAAAACTTGGAGAGCATTGGCCATGTTGTCGACATGTTTCTTTTCTCTACTGTTAAACTCCTTACTATTTCAGTTACTCACCGTCATACTCACCTTTGCCTCCGCCACTTGGGGTCCTCTGTTCTGCACTTGTGTTCTGTTCTCTGATGCCCCCAGGTTTTGCTGTACCTTCTAGAAATTGCTCACCTGGATAAGGCCTTGGCTGTCCTTTATGACTCATCTCCTTCAGGAAGCTTTTCAATTTCTCTTGAAGAATATTCCCTTCACTCAGTCCAAATACACATTCACTCACTTGAATACTGCTTCTTCCTCCAGTTTCCCAGTGCCAGGGATGATCCCCTAAGGCCTTTAAATTACATTATAATTAGTCACGCACTTGTCTCTGCTCTAGGACTGTTTGAATTGTTCATTCTCTTTTTATACCTCCAGTGTTCAGCACAGAGCCTAGGGTATAATACATGTGCAGTAATGTTTCTTGAAGGAGTGAATGGGCAAGTGAAACACCAAACAAATACTAAAGAGCAAAACATGGATTACTCTTGTATATTAACACATTAATGGGAGGAAGAGATGGGAGGAAGGTCTTGAATAATGTCAAATTATTTCTTAAGAGATCTTGATTTATATTTTTTTTCAAAATGAAATACGTGTTGTAACTGCTGTCAACAAATAATCAAATTAAAGCTAGAGCCTGGGTGTTAAGTATCAGGGGGAGCATGTGTGAATAACCAGCATTGCTGCTGTTGAAGCTCCGTAAAGTAGGAAGCAGTGACTGCAAAGATCCAGAGATGGACATCTGAAGCATAGGAAAGGGGCAGCTTGAATGAGATAGGAGCAGGATCTGTATTGATTGCAGGTCACCAGATAGAATTTTTAAAATCTACGTTCTCACTGGTGGCTACAGTTTTCGAAGCACAAATGACTATTAGTGGTTATTGTGTTTTTCTTGTTTTCAATAGAGCAGTTCTATGACTTAGTTACATAAGAAGTTAAAGGCTCCACCCCTTTTCCTACTGATGTCCTAAGCTGTCCTCCATGTGCATACAAACTTTGTTTCCAGATTGCCCTGGTGTGACTCAGTGCCTGGACCAGCTTCCCAGCCTCTTCTGTTTTCAGCACATCCTCCTCCACATGTTACAGGCTTACAAAGCTTTGCACAGCCTTTCAATGGGGTTTAGAGCAAGAATGCAGATTGCTACCTGGTAGGCAGCACTGACTATATTTTCATTGGCGCTGCATAGAGTGACTGCATGACATGCAGGTTGTGCTTTTGTTCTGCCAGGAATTTTCAGTTGAATGTAAAAGGCATTTAGCAAAGGCCGTATGAAATTATCTGCCATATGTAACTGGAATGTGAGGTAATGAACTTGTCGTTAGTCGTGTTTTAGTTTAGTGTTCTAGCTGGAATTTGCAAAAGATTAAAATTCTGCACATTTCATTGAGTCTTCCACATGGGCTCAAAATACCATCCCACAGGCTCGACCTGACTTGCCACGTTGCTTTGACACCATCTTTGATTCCAGTGAACAAAACTAAGTAAGTGTGACTTACAGCCGCCCTACCAAACATTGAAGGTGTGAGCCTGTGCTGCTGTTTCGTAATGACAATGGCAAGAGTATAATGACATCCTAGTCCATGAAGACATGTTTTCTCTTTTCCCTCCCTCTGTGTACACTTACGCAGTGTATAATATAATATAATTTATATTTCTGCTTAAATCTGCCATCTCTACTTAGAATTATTTTCCCTTGAAAAATTAAATTGCATTATCCATCAGCCAAACGGAAAATTTGATTACTAAATACCTAGTTCTAGACATTATGAATTACCTGTAATATCACATTTCTTGGGTACTTCTCAGAATGCTATGATTTTACATAAAAGCATAAATTACAGAATGAGAGCAGTAAAGTTTAGTGCCTATTTTGCAGGTTCGTAGAGTGATATGTGGCCTATGACTGTCATTGTAATCAAAATTGATTTTTGATCATTTGTAAAACTAAAACAACTAATTGAAAGCAAATTTACTTTAACTGATGAAATTCAAGATGAAGTGACAGTGGTCATGAATCTCAGTTCTGTAGATCTGCTAAAATGCCAATACACTGACACTCAATTGTTATTAATGGCAAAAGTGTTTAATATATTAATGGGAATCCAAATAAGGAAAATAAAACACATATTTTGACCTTACTTTAAGTCATGTTGACATTGTACATAAATCAGGTAGAATTTGAAGATGTTTCATCCAGCACTCATTATGAAGCAACAGAGTCAATAGTGGGCAGTTACAGTCTGTAGGCAACGCTTTCTGGTGTGGATTATGCCAAAAACTTACAGTCATTTGACTTCCTTTATTGCCCTTTTTATGTAAACTACCAGGTGGTAGGTAGACCCATTCTTGGCTGTCAGTATTTTTACCACTTGGATAGATTCTGCTGTCTGAGAGATCTTGAAGAGAAATGCAGCACATGTACAGTGTGATATAGGAGAAAGAACATCAGACAGAGGCAGAGAACTGGGCTTGTCAAAATTAAGGGTGACCTAGAGCCTTAGTGTCCTTATATGTAAGATGAGAAGCTTGGATTAAAGTTCATTGCTCTTTACACTTGATTTTTATGCAGCAGAACTTTCTTCAAAAGAGATCATTCCTGGAATCCCAATATACAAAATGGATAAAAGTAGGATTGTTCTGAAGTAAAGAAGTAAAATCCAGAGCCCCACTTATTTGAGTCATCTCCTACCTTTTAGATGGTCATTGTTTCTAGTTCAGAAATTCTGATGTTTTATATTAATTTAAACTAAAGTTAAATTAGGACTAGAGGAGCCATTTCTTGTGAAAACAGACATAGTCTGAGTGATTTAGGCAAACCCGTAGTGACAGATTTAGTGGCCTGCTACACTGGGTTGGAAAGATCTGTTCCAAGTCAGTCTCAATACACAAGTCTCGGTGAACAGGTGGAGAGCAGTCTTGGTGGTGGTCAAGAACATGGAATTTGCTGTGAGAGAGACCTTGGTTAGGGTCTGGGCTCTTCCATTTGTTAACTGCAAACTTGAGCAAGTTATTCAATCTCCCTAATACTCAGTTTTGTCATCCATAAAATGGATTGATAATGGTACCTTCTGTGTACAGTTACTATGAGTATTAAAAGAGGTAATAAGCCTGTAAAACTCCTGGCATGATGACATTGGCCTACAATAATTGCTCATAGAGTGAGAACTTACTATAAACACAGGCATTTTTGTTGAATGACTGATTGATTGAATGAATGAATGTAGAACTAGCTTTCTATTTGTGATGTATGGAATATCTGTGTTTCATTTAATTTCATTTCAAATATTAAAATTCAGGCTTGCTTTTAAACCAAAGTACTTGCTGATGCAAAGAATCTAATTCTGACTGTGATACAGTTTCATCACTTTTGAAGGAATAAGAAAAATGCTAACATAGCATGAACAACTTCGATTGAGAGAACAGAGTCTCTGTTAAAATCCATGGGACTTATCAACTTCATATTTTTGTTTATGAACATGAAACGCTCCCTAGTGTACATCAGAATCATTTGATGCTTGCTGAATCGCAGGTTGCTGGAACCCGTCCCCGGAGTTTCTGATTCAGTCTGAGATGAAGTCTGGGAATTTGCATTTTTAACTTGTTGTCAGGTGATACTGATGCTAGTGGTCTGGGAATACACTTTGAGGATCGCTTTTTCAAAGTCACAGTCATTAAACAAGCTAACTCAATGAGAAATGATAATGAAAATGCATGTACCTAAATAGATAAAGGACCGATCGATACCAGCTATGAGTTTGCGTTCAGCAATAATTGTAAAATTTATAATTCTTTTCAGGTATTTGGTTTTTTAAAAACTCCCTGTGTATGCTTTTATCTTATTTGTTATATGGTTTCTCTCTTTTCCTCTCTTTCTCTCTAATCCAGTTTTTAATGTGAAAATGTTGTTCAAAGCAGAAGCAAACCTTTTGTGTAACCTTGGTGGTATTAAATTTGTTTGTAAGCTATTTCTGCCCTGTTAGCTTTTGTACTGAAACATGTTTTCTTGCTTTTCTTGCAGTATGGAAGAGAAGAGAGCGACTGGACAATTGTGCTATCCTGAGTGGAAAATAGAAGATACCAACTGTATGCTACCGGGACAGACTGTTGTATTTGAATTGTGATAGATTTCTTTGGCTACCTGTTAGTACTTGCGCATAATGTAGTTTGTAGTGTCAGTGTGTTACAAGAGTGATTGTTTCTTCATGCCAGAGAATATGAATTGCAATCATCAAATGGTGTTTCGTAACTTGGTAGTAGTAGCTTACCTTACCTAGAAAAATATTAATGTAAGCCATATAACATGGGATTTTCCTCAATGATTTAGTGCCTCCCTTTGTACTTCACTCAGATACTAAAATAGTAGTTTATTCTTCAATGTAAGTTACATTCTGCTCCTCAACCAAATGCAATTTGTGTGTGTGTGTTTGAAGGCTAAGTTGAGAACATTTCATAGGTTACATTTCCTGCAGCCTATCTTTATCCACAGAAAGTGTTTTCTTTTTTTTCAATCGAGACTTTTAAAACTGGATTTCCTCCCATCACAGTTTTTTGCAGGCCCTCCAAGTCCGTCTTAAGGTAAATATCTCTCTTCTTCCTGACGTCACAGCCTGAGCATACTCATGCGTTAGGAAGACCTGAGTGCATTTCCCACCATTGTCCTTTCCACATTATATTGTAGCTTGCTGTCTGTCAGGCGACTACAAGACTGAGGGTCTTGTGCCTTATAGATCTTTGTATCCCCAGTGGCTGACACATAGTAGGTACTCAGTAAATGGTTTTATAATGAATTAATGAACATTTTGCTTCTATAGAAGTGTACCTTCTTTGTTTCTATATTATGAAACTTCTTTATTAGAATTTGTGATTGATTCTGACACTGTATAGATTTACCTTATATTGTCTTTATTTTCCATGAGCTACTAAGTCATTAGAGATACTCTGAAGCATAGTCAGTTTAGGAAATAATTTCATATTGACTGTATTGGAATTGTCTTGGAATTAAAGATATATCCCTAGAGCAGGGGACCCCAACCCCCAGGCCACAGGCCACACAGCAGGAGGAAGTGAGTGGTGGGACAACGAGAAGCTTCATCTGTATTTACAGCTACTTCCCATCACTCACATTACCACCTGAGCTCCCCCTCTTGTCAGGTCAGTGGCAGCATTAGATTCTCATAGGAGCGCAAATCCTATTGTGAACTGTGCATGCAAGGGATCTAGGCTGTGTGCTCCTTATGAGAATCTAATGCCTGATGATCTGAGGTGGAACAGTTTCATCCTGAAACCACCCTCCACCCTGCAGTCTGGAAAAATTGTCTCCCACAAAACTGGTCCCTGGTGCCAAAAAGGTTGGGGACCACTGCTGTAGAGAGAGGTCATGATATCATACCAACCACATGGAAATGACAAATGTTTTGTGTTAAGTGTTAATTACAGAAATAATTTTTTTTTTTTGGTAGAAAACAAAGAGGCATACTCTGATTTTTATACTGTTGTTGCAGGTGCTCTTTTCTTTGAATGGAGATTTGATGAGCAAGTGGTTAGGATACAGGGAGAGCTACTATGGGTGATATTTTCCGTGTTTAGGAGCTGTGAGTTAAAATTGTATCCTTTCTGGTTTATCTAGGGAAAGTCAAATCTTGACAGAAAACATTTTTCCTTGGAAGGTCAACTCTCAGACATTGTATTTTGGTTTCCCTCAGTCCTCATAACTTTCTTCTTGCTGAACATATTTTATTCTCTTTTCAGAGAAGGAAAAAAAAAAGGATTCTAAAAGTTTGATGCATTGGAAAAATTTCCTTGAGGCAGTTAGCAACGCACAGCAAATGGGCTTTGATTCTTTTCCAAAACTTTTAGCCATAGGGTCTTTTGTACACAGGAATAGTAAAATGAAAATCGAGAAATATAAGATGAAAAGGAATGGTAAAAATATCTTTTAGGGGGCTTTTAATTGGTGATCTGAAATCTTGGGAGAGGCTGTTCTTTTCAGATCTGAGGTGCTCTTGGCTCGCCTGCACACTGTGTACCCCAAGCAGCATTCTAAGGGTGTGCTTTCACTTTGGCTAACTCCTTTGACCTCATTCTTAATATAGTAGTCTAGGAAAAAGTTGCAGGTAATTTAAAATGTCTAGTGGTACACAGTAACTAAATTTCTATTCCTATGAGAAATGAGAATTATTTATTTGCCATGAATACATTTTATACTTTGCATCTCCACTTTTATTGTGGCGAGACATGCCCATTGTGAAAGTTAGAGAACATTATGTGTGTATCATTTCTTTCGTAAAACCTTAAGAGCATTTTTAAGCCCTTTTCATCAGACCCAGTGAAAACTAAGGATAGAATGTTTTTAAAACCTGGAGGTCTCCTGATACAGAGAACATGATCCACCATTGTCATTTAAGGAATAAGACAGGAAATTGACCTTGACGCTGTCTTGTTAAATAGATTTAACAGGAACATCTGCACATCTTTTTTCCTTGTGCACTATTTGTTTAATTGCAGTGGATTAATACAGCAAGAGTGCCACATTATAACTAGGCAATTATCCATTCTTCAAGACTTAGTTATTGTCACACTAATTGGTCATTTAAGGCATAAGATAGTCTAGCACTGGGAACATGTGAAGCTAATCTGCTCAAAAAGATCAACAAATTAATATTGTTGCTGATATTTGCATAATTGGCTGCAATTATTTAATGTTTAATTGGGTTGATCAAATGAGATTCAGCAATTTACATGTGCATTAATATAAACAGAACTGGTGGCACTTAAAATGATAATGATTAACTTATATTGCAATGTTCTCTTCCTTTCTTCACTTTTTTCAGTTTTTACATTTCAGACCGAATTTGTCAGCTGTTTTGAAAATACATTGGTAGAAACCAAGATTTTAAAGTGAAGTATCAAGACAAAGGCAAAACCTGAGCAGTTCCTAAAAAGATTTGCTGTTAGAAATTTTCTTTGTGGCGGTCATTTATTAAGGATTCAACTCGTGATACACCAACAGAAGAGTTGGCTTCAGAGACGTGTTCCCTGCTCTCTAGTACAGGAATGAATACATTTATAACACCTGCTTTAGACTTTGTTTTCAAAAGCACAAAGGAAAAGTAAAAAGGAAAGAGAAGCAAGTGACTGAGAAGTCTTGTTAGGGAATCAGGTTTTTTTTCTACCTGGTAAACATCCTCTATTCTTTTCTCAAAAGATTGCTGTAAGAAAAAAAAAAGAGGCAGAGCCAGGCAGCAGCAAGAAAGCAGAGCGTAACATCAGCTAGATGGTGACATGCAATGTGAGCTCTCTTGAAGACATGGGAAACCTACATTATACACCTTGGGTTAAAATTCTTCACCATACTAGTTTTGTTGCTTCATAAAATTGTACCTAAGCAAGTGATCTTGCTTGCCTCAAATCCAAGCAGTCTTGAACACCTGAAGGCGATTAATGAGTATATCTTAGTCAAAAGAATTGTTGGAGCTTTTTATTAAAGCTGCAGTTTCAGTTCTGCTTTTGGGGAATTGTGCTATGCAAGCAGCTGCCAAAATAAGCTCATTTATTTTTTCCAGTCCCACTCACTCAGTGCTCAGTCACTATATTCTGTTTCCTTTTTTTTTTTCAACTTGCATATTTGGTTTCCCCTTATGATTGGGAAAGATGAATTTTCAGCAGAAAACAGTATTTGTTCACTTTCAAAGAGTGATAGTTTCTAAAACATTTAGAGCAATAAGTATTCATCAGAGGTACCAAATGAGGCAGAAGACTTAAGGGTTAGAGAAACCCCTTATTTCATGTCTTGATTCTAAAATGATCAAAGGACTTTTCCTTGTAATGTGGATTTCTTCTTATGTGGATATGTAAAAACTTCAGTTATAAGTAGTAATGCTAGCAGGTAATTTTAGTGGACATTTTATAACAACTGTCACTTTGTTTTGCCACATGTAGTTTGTTCAGCTGTTTTCCAGATATTTCCCCCCAAAAGGAGGCAAAGGGTACCAGCTTTTCAATGAGCATTACCTATTACTTGGCAAAGATGATGAAGACTCTATTAATAGTTAATTTGATAAATGTTGACATAACCAACAATAGAGATTAGGAAGTTAGTTTTAGGAAATCAATGGCATATAGACATTACCCTCATGGAGTTTGTATTCTACTACTTGAACTGACTGTAGCTATAAAAGCAATAGTTAGATAGCTGAATAGTTAGATCATAAGCAAGGAAGGCCAGAGTACATCTCTTATCAAGAAATCAATGAATAGTTGATCTCATTTTTAAAGCAACGTTATCCTTCTTTAATTCCTTCCTTTCTTCTAGTGCAAAACTACTTAATAAGGTTGGTGTTTAGGTTAGTGTTCACACCACGCTCATCTGGTGTGAATTACCTCCTCCCTCTTTACTGTTTACTACCAACCTAGTACATGTGTTGACTGCATTCTTTTCAAACAATGTTGAGTTGTCATGGTGCATCTAATAAATTAACACCACGGATTACTGCATCCTTGCTGATCTTCTTAAATGCAAAGCCAGATTATATGGACATAAACAAAGAAAATGATCCTAGAGTGAATTTTTCTAGAAAATATCTATTATGAACCATGCTGTTTAAAGTGTTAGCTTGAAGGTGATGGATCCAGCTATTCAGAAAGTAACTTTCATATAACCATTATTTTGCACAGTATGAGGTCTTAAATGTATTGAAAGAGATAAATTTTTATCATTACCAAAACCCCTTTTAAAGATTCAAAGGTGGAAGAAAGTGATTTATTTTTCCTCTTAAGCATACATATATAAAAGACTTCTCAGATGTTTAATTTGGGGAGGTTGATAATGAAACATATCAACAGAGTATAGTAGTTATAGCAGTGTTTGTGGATAAATAATTCCCTGGGGTCAGACATATATAAACATATTTGCTTTAGTAAATGATAAAGGCATGAAATCAGTCTAAAAAATTGAAGTGGAGGGTGATGGGGGAGAAAAAGAACAGAATTTGAAGCACCCTTTCAAATCTGCTGGATACAAGTATTGAAGTTTTAAGTCATCTTATTTTGTCTGAAAGTGTGTTTTTCATTCTACAATAGACCCAATCAACAAGACCTATAACTTGAGTTGCATGATGTTCAGTTTATGTAATCTACTGTTGGGATGGTAAGAATTGATGCAGGCTGTGGTGTAGGAATGAATTAAAGTATAGTTTCACTGGCTTTTCTCTACATATCGACCATCACAATGGCTAGGTTTCCTGTTGCTCACTATTGGATTATGGAGAAAATTTTAATGAAAGGTGATATCAGAGGAAGAATAAGTGGAGGTAGAGAAGAAAGGAATGATGGGGGGGGGGGAAACAAAACATATTTCTGTGTTATCCAAAGGAGCTTTTTCCTTATTCTGTCAAGCACTGAGATCTTCAGCTTTCAGTGTAGTTGCTAAAAACAAATTATGCTGCTAGGTAGTGATTAAATATAGCGAACACTTCATCAGATATTAGAATTAGGTCACACCATTGAGGTTATAATCTGAGGGTTGTGTTACATAGAAACCACTTTAGATTATTATCAATTTGGACTAGACTTTATTTTATAATTGCATAGTCAGTAATATCTATTGTGTCATTTTTTCAACCATTTTATTCTAAGATCTGTGAAGCTTCTTGAGGCCAAATAGAAGAATAAGTTTAGACGAGAAGTAGATTGTAACTTTTTTCCCTTGGAGATACCATTTACCACTATCTCCCTATCCTCATAGGTGGAAGGTTTACTGAATTGGAAATTGGTTGAATATTAGTTTTTAACTAAAATGTGCAATAACACATTGCATTTTCCTCAAACTAGTTTCGTATGATCATTAAAGTCATTCTCAGGGTTAAGAAAGGAATGTAAATATCTGCCTCAATTTGTCCTTCACCGGTAAGTTTTTAAAGGGTGCAGATTTTGAGTCAGGTCTTAAAACTAAGCTCACAAATCTGGATGCATTTCTAAATTCTGCAAATGTTTCCTGGGGTGACAACAACAATGAATAATCCCACAATATACCTCAGTACCTAATACATGGAACTGGGGCTCAACCCACTGTTTTTAAGAATTTGCACTTAACTTGTGGCTGAGGAAAAATAAGTAGTCTGAGGAAGCAGTTTTTAAATTCAAGCTTATAGTTAGAAACAGAATATCAACTTAATTGTGAAACTGTTAGAACCTGTTCTCTTGCATCTGAATCTGATTGCAATTGTTATTGTAATGATAAACCCCAGCCATTGCAAGTCTCAAATATCTTAGCTGTGTAGTGATTCTTGAAATTCTTTTTAAGAAAAATTGAGTAGAAGGAAATAAACACTGTGTAAATGAGGCTTGGCTTTTATGAAAGATCATTTACAGGCTATGTTAAAAGGATTTTAGCTCACTAAAAGTGTAATAATGGAAATGTGGAAAATATCGTAGGTAAAGGAAACTACCTCATTCTCTGAAGGTTTTGCCGAAGCACAATTAAACATTCAAGATGGCTTTGTTACACCAGAGCCATCTGGTGTGAAGAACTCTATATTTGTATGTTGAGAGGGCATGGAATAATTGTATTTTGTTGGCAATAGACACATTCTTTATTATTTGCAGGTTCCTCATCAAATCTGTAATTATGCACAGTTTCTGTTATCAATAAAACAAAAGAATCCTGTTTGTGTGGTTTCATGAAATCAGCATTGTTGAATGCATGAAGTAATAGTGCTTAATTAACATTTTTATGATGTCCCAAGGTTTCTGGTCAAGGGAAATAAATGTAGGATCGTATTTTTACACCAAAATGACACAGAGAGAATTGAGCACACCAGAAAGACCAGAAACCACACCACTGGATAGAGGTTAAATATGTTTCTTTTTCAAACATTTGGACAAGAAAAAAAAATGGGCATTTAAAAATTCTTTCCTCTGGTTATGGATTTATCTGTAGTCAAACTTAGCTTTGCTGTTTGAGATTTGCACAGAATGGGGGGAATAGATTACTTCTTCCCATTCGTTGTCATAATGGATCTACCTCACTGATAAACACCGTATATCTATATGTGGTTAACTAGCTTTAGAATAAAACAAACTTTAAAAAGTAAAAGGCCTAGAGATTTTCAATGATGTGTGCCTTTTAGCCAAACCAGGCCTTGCAGAAATTGTCCTCAAAAGCACCAAGGGAGAATAAAGCCAAGTGCAGAATTACCCAAGGGTCACACATTTTGTATTCATTTTATATAATTTGCCTGAATGATTTGAAGTGCAGCAAAACCTAAAGTTTTGCAAAGAGTTACTGTAAACTGAACTTAAAAATGTCAGAGTGCTCAGTGACCCTCTTCTCCAGACCCTGTCAACCTGTGAAAATATTGGCCTTCATTCAGATCGCTCAAGAAGTTACGTGCAGAGTTTGGAAGGTCTAGGCAAAGGTTATTAGTCAAGTGTTCTTACAGTGTCAACGCTCAACTCCCACAAGCGTGAGAAAGAGAGACCTGTCATTCCTGAGGGTGATGACATACATTTACTGGAGCTTATATAATTTATCAGATAAGACAGCAGTCTCCTTCAGGCTAGAAAGTGTGTTTTCTACGTTGATTTAGTACAAAACAAAAAGAAAAAGGGAGATATTTCAAATTTTCTAATTATTTTTCTGCTAAGCTGATTCAGTGTGATTTAAGCATATTTTTCAAGTCATGAATCTGATTCCACACACATGCCATATGTACCTTACATTGTGATAATTTATTTTTAAGTGAAATATGCTATTATAGTCTGACTTTATGTATAGTGGTGATCAACTTGCAGGATCGTATTTCTGTAACCAAACAGCCCACAGCTGAGATGTAGATGCTTCTTATGTCTGTAGAATAATCACTGAGCTTGTTCTCTAGCTATGACTGTATGCAACAGGGACAGTGTTGATCAAAACCCATGATCATGCTCTCCAAAAGTCTTTGTCAGTAAGCCACTAGGGATTCTGAAAAGTTCATGAGCTGAAACAAATAGAGTTGGAAGATTCATGTTGATTTTTTGTATCCCAAATGCAGCATACCAGTTTTTGAAGCTGAACTGATTACATTAAAAAGAGAGTAAGCTGCATTTGTTTTAAAGACAGTCACATGACCAAAAGGTGCTCAACATCATTGTTCATTAGATATGTGCAATGAAATCTGCAATGAGAGATCATTTCACTCCAGTTAAAATGACTTATGTCCAAAATACAGGTAATGACAAATGCTGGTGAGGGTGCAGAGAAAAGGGAACCCTCTTACACTGTTGGTGGGAATGTAAATTCATACAACCACTATGGAGAACAGTTTGGAGGGTCCTCAAAAAACTAAACATTGAGCTATGATATGATCCAGCAATCCCACTGCTAGGTATGTATCCAAAAGAAAGGAACTCAGTACATCAAAAAGATATCTGCAATTCTATTTTTGTTACAGCACTGTTTACAATAGCTATGATTTGGAAGCAACCTGAGTGTCCAACAGTAGATGAATGGATGAAGAAAATGTGGTACATGTACACAAGGGAGTACTATTCAGTCAGAAATAAAGAATGAAATCCTGTCATTTGCAACAACTTGAATGGAAATAGAGATCATTATGTTAAGTGAAATAAGCCCAGCACAGAAAGACAAACTTTGCATGTTCTCACTTATTTGTGGGATCTAAAAGAACCATTGAACTCATGGAGACAGAGTGGAAGAATGGTTACCAGAGGCTGGGAAGGGTAGTGGTGGTGGGAAGGACAGAGGAAGTGGGGATGGTTAATGAGTACAAAAAAATAGAAAGAATGAATAAGACCTCATATTTGATATCACAGCAGGGTTACTGTAGTCAATAATAACCTAATTGTACATTTTGAAATAACTTAGGGAATAATTAGATTGTAACTCAAAGGATAAACACATGAGGGAATGCATACCTCGTTTTCCATGATGTGCTTACTTCACATTTCATGCTTGTGTCAAAACATCTCATGCACCCCATAAATATATACACCTACTATGTACCCACAGAAACTAAAAATATAAATAGTTACATAATCTAGTAAACACTTCCCATGAAAAACTTATTTGTGATAATGATAAGCAAAAGTGATGCATACTTTAATCTCTGGCTTCTTCCAAGCCATTGTAGGATGTCACAAAACAGCTTTCTTACCATGCAAGTAGCCTAATAATTAACAGGATGGTTAAGGGCCATTGGCTGATCCTGAGATCTTGAGTGAGTTTCCTAAATTGGCAAAAAAAAAAAAAAAAAGAGTGATCATAATAGTACCAATCTTACTGGTTAAAAGGATTAGTGAGAATATAAATACCTTACAATAGTTCATGTGTAAAATGTAAACTGATGCAATTTTATTAAAAATAAATGAATGAGGCCGGGCGCAGTGGCTCACGCCTATGATCCCAGCACTTTGGGAGGCCAAGGTGGGTGGATCACGAGGTCAGGAGATTGAGACCATCTGGCTAACACGGTGAAACCCGTCTCTACTAAAAATACAAAAAAAATTAGCCGGGGATGGTGGCGGGTGCCTGTAGTCCCAGCTACTTGGGAGGCTGAGGCAGGAGAATGGCGTGAAACCGGGAGGCTGAGATCGTGCCACTGCACTCCAGCCTGGGCGACAGAACAGGACTCTGTCTCAAAAATAAATAAATTAATTAATTAATAAACCCAAAGACAGAAAGGGGCTAATAGCTCACAAAAGTTCTGTGTGAAGAAGCTGTGGTGACAACTTGTAGGATGGCATTTCTCTAAGCAAACAGCCCACAGCCGAGATGTAGATGCTTCTAATGTCTGTGGAATAATCACTGGGCTTGTTCTGTAGCTATGTCTGTATGCAACAGGGACCGTGTTGATCGAAACTCATGATCATTCCTCTCCACCCAGTGGAGGTGGTAAATGTTCCTAGGTTCAGAGCACAGCTACTTGGGACAGGGGCATAATCTAGCACTCCCAGACTGCTTAGTGTGAGTTAAAAATGTGTGATTTACTCAAGTCTGGAGGTAAAAACCAGGGCTGGATTAAGCAATGATGATCGATTACTGAAAAACACATTTTTCCTTTTTACAAATATGAGTTCTATGTTCCCCAAGAATACAGCAGTGATGATTCATTTCATGTGTCAACTGGGCTGCGGTGCCCACTTGATTGGTAAAACACTAACCTAGATGTTGCTGTGAAGTTATCTTTTAGATGTGATTAATACTTAAATCAGTAGACTGAGAAAAGCAGCCCTCCCTCCATAATGTGAGAGGGCCTCGTCTGAGCCATTGAAGGCCTTAAGAGCAGACAGGTTTTCCAAAGAAGACGGAATTTGGCCTTGAAACCGCAACATGGAAATTCTGCCTGAATTTCCAACCTGCTTGGCCTGCCCTGCAGATTTCAGACTCAAGACCTCAACATCAACTCTTACCTGAATTTCCAACCAATTGGCTTGTTGTACAGAATGTGGACTCACTAGCCTCCCCAATTTAAGAGACAATTAAATCTCTCTCTCTTCATGCATATATGTAGATAGATAGATACAGATGGTGGTATAGTTCCTATTTGTTCTTTATAGAATCCTGACAAATACAACAACAAACTGTATTTTTACTTACAGTTTCCTCTACTAAGTAAAAAAATCATGTGCTGTATTGTTCTCTTTTGTCTCAGGCAAGTCTATGCGTTCAGAAAATTGTTCATCACGTAAGAAACTAGTGATAGTGTACTCTAATCGCAAACATAGTATCTAAGAAAAAAATAAGAATTCCAGGACTGGCAGTGTTGCACAACCCAAACTAAATGAGGGCAGACATCAAAAGAATATTTTCAGGCATCAATGGGAGAAATAATTCTGAGTGTTGGGCCATGAAATGCCTTAAATTATTGTTATTATTATTGTGTTCAGGGCCTGAATCTATGCCCCGAGAATGCAACATGGCCAAAAGTAGACAGAAAAAGCTTTTGTGGTATAATTGAGGAATGGGATGATTTTGTCATGTAAGAGCCATCCTGATGATAAAAGTCAGCTTCATAGTTGTACTAAAATGTGTGGCTGTAGTGATCATCATGAGTGTCACCCAGACCTCCTGTCTACACAGTATGACAACCAGGTTCAACCTCAGACTTACTGGTGCTCCCACTACCAGGTTCAAGTTAAGAAACATCTTTGTAGTCATTTCGACTTTTGTATCTCTGTATTCCACGTGTATTAAAGTTATCTTTTGCAAGCCAGTTTTTGTAAACTCCTGAATAAAGAGAACAAATTGATCTGCATCTGCAGTGAGATTTGACAAGGCAATTTAAAAGGCAATAAGGAGCCAAACAAGGTGAAGTGATGGAGACAGGGATTATCCACAGCAGCTCCTCACCAGTTTGGTTCTCACAAAAGGAGAAGATGATCTCATATTCTGCATGAGGGAAAGGAAGAGAATTTTCCTTGGACTTGCTTGTTTCATAGTCATGAGGTTAATGGTTGCATTTTCTGCAAGAGCATTTTTCACCCAGTTTAATGCAAACTTTCTTTAACAGCAATCATCCTCCTCCTGATACTAACCAATAATTATTCTTCTTGCTAATCATCAATTTGAATGGCTAGATTTCACAGTCAAGTGTACAAAGTCTGCTAGATAATTTTGTTTTTATATTTCCCTTTTATTCACATTCATTCAATTTCCCCATAGCCAT